AAAAAACGGTCGGCAAAACATCTACACACTTTACAGGCAGTATATATTAATTAAATTACACATATTACTTTACGCCAACAGAAAGAGAAATTGTGATTCTTGATTGTTCTTCTTTCTTTCTGTGTACTGTGTCTTTCAGGGCGTAGGCGATCATGGCTCTCCACCTCCCTCTATCCCTTGCAGCTCTCAATAACTTCCTTCCATCTGCTTCCTCTACCCCCACCCCCAAGACACTTCATCCACTTGCTTAAGTCCGCCAGGTATGTCACACGTTGTATTCCCTTGTCTCTTTTTCCCACTGTTCGACCCGTAAGTATCTGATTCTCCAGGCCCTCCTTCCTCATTATGTTTCTGTTGAAACTTGACTAATGCATGGAATAATAATACAACACAAAATGTACTTAGAACAAAATGTATTGAAACAAGAAAGTGTACACAATATTTACATATAGTCTTTTGTATATTCTTGGGAAGACCGTTCCTGGAGAATGTGTTGACTTAGTCGCAGTCGGGCAGAGTCTCTGGATTGAATCTCTTGATTCCTTCCCTCGTCTGCCCGGTACCAACCATATTTATATGGTCGGTACTCCACTATGCAAATTAGGTGGATCCTACCACAACAGTTTCCCAGAAATTTCAGCTGCCTCTTCCTGATATAAAGTAAACGCCTCCTCCTTGTTTGTATCCACTCTAAGACCCCATCGTTGCTCACACACTCGGTCCTTGATACCTTTAGCATCCTTCTGTAGAATCACATCTCCCTCGCCTCGAGTCCCTTCTTCATCTTTGAAGAAATCGTCCAACATTCGCGGCCGTAAACAACGATAGATGTCACGTAACAGCTTAGTATTCTTTTCTTTGTTACCAAAGATATCCTCTTGTCTCGGAATACTCTGCCCAGCTTTTGGAATGAGATCTTGGCCATCCCTACGGATCTCAGTGTTGCATTTACCGTCCTCTGTCAAGACGCTTCCCAGACATTTCAACTTCGTCGGCTGCTTGATTCTTGTAATCCCGACCTGCAAAGCGCATTTCGGGCTCATCCTTTTGCTGATGACTATGCATTCTGTTTTCTTGTAGTTTATGCTTAGTCCCTTCTTCACACTCTCCGTCGCTACCTTCTGTAAGAAATTTTGGAATTTCATTTTTGTGTCTGTTATCTTTTTTAATATTAAATTATATTTAAATCATAGTTCCTCCTTTCTTCCCAGTTTGACTATCACTCCACGATTTTCGTTAAAATTTTATTATATATATATATATATATATATATATATATATTAGGTTGTTTTGTTTTTGTTTTTGTTTTTGTCACGTGGTATGATTTTAGCTATCACCTATAAATATGTGTTTCTCTTTGCCTCGTTAGCCAAACTTTCCCTGACGATCCGTTTAGGTGAAACCTAGGTAGGTTTGTCTGGCTCACTAGGTGTATCTAGGTCTGCTCTACGGTTGTATTGAGCTCTTTTGTTAGTTAGTTGTTACTCGTATCGGGTTTTTTTCTTTGGGCTTCAGACCTGCATCTGTGCGATTTTTTTGTCGGCAGAAGTTCATGTTTGTAGCTCTTTCTTTTTTTAAAACCTTTTTTTCCCTCGAGATTGATTTGATTAGCAAATCAAAAATTCGAGGGTTTTTCGAAACGAGTCTAGTTATCTATATATATATATATATATATAGTATATCAATATAATATATTAATATAATGTATCGCACTGTGACGTCGCCCCTCCTTGGTCGCAGCGTCCAACTGTGACGTGACGTGATGTGGCCGCCCAAGGGTCGATCCTTGTCACGGACAGCACCAGTTGTGACGTTTTTTGCCACGGCGTCAGCTGTTCGCTCCTCGCTGCTCCAAGTGTGACGTTCCAACCCTCTGGTTAGATGATTACCAGCCTCGCCGTTCCCAACTCGCTTCCAACACCTGGTTACTAGGGTAACTGTACTGATCTCCGGTCTGCCTACCCACGTTGTGATTAGATCTTAGACAGACGGGATCAAACAGGAGTCGGGGCCTTATGCCAGCTGGGTTCAACGGGGGTGGCAACACACAGGTAAAAAAAAAAAAAAACTCACGAGGCAAAAAAATTACTGATAAGAAAGGGTAACAACCTTTTTATATCTAATGTTCGTTACATAAAAAATTCTTTACTCCCTGACCCGTTTTGTGGACTGTGGCACCAAGCTTCTATCATACAATTTAAAGACTTCGAGTTGCCTACTCTAGAATTTTGTATGTCGGAGTGTGGGTTGGTTTCGACACTGGGCGCTAATCTCTACCAGTCGTTCACGGCTGATTCTTCTCTTCGGCTTGAGTTGGACGAGCTTATTCGCTTCGGCTTGAGTTGACGTATTTCTTCACTTCGATTTGGGTTGGACGAATTTCCACCCTCAGGCTTGGCCTGGTTTCAACTTCTTCTAGACGCAACTGCAAGTAACTTCTTCTTCTTCCGTCCTGCAACTCTTCTCGCCAAGGTCCGAACTCTTCTCTCTGCCGTCTGAGGTGAACTCTTCTCTCTGCCTTCCGGGGCTGAACTCATTTCTGTCGATTGAGGTCCTGCTTTTATTGACGCCGCAACAAACTGGGGTGGGTCTGTCGGCGTCAGGGTTTCTTGATAATTCCAAAAGTCGCATTAGTTCTGATTTCCCATTATCGCTCTTATTTTCACCCCTACTTCCCTCACAGTGCCTCTGAGGGGAGGCGCATACCCATCTCTCCCGGTCTCTCGTATGTCAGGTGACCGTTTTCGACCAATGGGTCCTGGTCGAGCGTCCTTTCTCCTCTTTCTCGCATATCACGTGACCGCTTTCGGCTAATGAGATTCTGGTTGGGCGTCTCCCGTCCTTCGTGACGTCTCCAATCGGGCGTGGTCTATCCCGGCTTTGTTCTGGGAAAGAAACACCTTTGCTAAAAAAAAAAAAATCCAATTTGGCCTTTTTCGCACGCACGAAAATGACAATCTCGGCCTTTTCACCTTTTGGTTTTTTGTCAAACAGCCCGCCGCTAATTAGATGTGACTTCAGGAAGAATTTTTCTCGTCTCGCTGGCGCTCTCTGTGAGCTAGAACAATTGTTTTCATTTCTTTGTTTTTGCTCAGACCTGATAGTCAAAATCTTAATTATCTGAATTGAAAATATCTTCACTTTATCATCGTGGGGTTCTAATCTTCAACAGGTCAGGATCTGTATACAATTCCAGCGGTCACCTTCTCATCCCAAAAGACACCCCTTCCGATTAATATTTCGTTTTCCATTGTTCTAAAAAATCCCATTTCTCCAAATTGATAACGAGCTCCCACATTCCGTGGACACAAAAGTAGGCCAGATGTTTTTGACCGATATTTTTATCAATCGTACGTATGTTCATCCACTTTTACCATGTCTGTTTTTTTTTATTTCTTTCATTATCTCTAGGCTTATTCTTAATTTCTATTGTTCGAAATTCGGTCAGGCGCGTTGGCCTAGATATCTCTTGACACCTGTTTTCGCTTATGACCGGCTTTTTACATTATCCATCTCCTTCCTTTTCCTTTTTTCTTTCTTCCTTCTGCTTCCCTTAGGATCGCCTAAATACAATTAGAGAATTATTCTCAAAACTCAATTATTCTTCGTCTAAATAACTAACAACTGGTTAATAAACCGAATAAAAATTAAATCATATTTCTATGAATATTTCTTTTTAGTTTTTCTAATAATGCAGGGTGCCACAGCACATTCGGTTTTAAGATAGTGATCTATACTATATAACAACGCTATAAACTATATATAATTAATATATATATATATATATATATATATATATATATATATATATATTGGTGTACAACGGTGTATTACAATCTTCACTGTCGGGCCTCGTCCAGTACGCGGCCTTGTGTATAATGAATTATTCTCCACCTTATATATTAATATAATGTATCGCACATTCGGTTTTAAGATAGTGCTCTATACTATATAACAACGCTATAAGCTATATATTAATTAATATACATTATATATTGTTGTGGTAGGATCCACATAATTTGCATAGTGGAGCACCGATCATATAAATATGGTTGGTACCGGGAAGAGAGGGAGGAATCAAGAGATTCAACCAGAGACTCTGCCCGACTGCGACTCAGTCAACACATTCTCCAGAAACGGTCTTACCAGGAATATACAAAAGACTATATGTAAATATTGTGTACACTTTCTTGTTTCAATACATTTTGTTCTAAGTACATTTTGTGTTGCATTATTATTCCATGCATTACTTTAAGTTTCAAATATATATATATATATATATATATATATATATATATATATATATATATATATATATATTGGTACAACGGTGTATTACAATCTTTCACTGTCGGGCCTTGTCCAGTACGCGGCCTTGTGTATAATGAATTATTCTGCACCTTACAACCTTTAACCTACTGACGAAATGTTGCTAGCCTACTCTATCGCTATGACTACAGCAGGTATTCGGGTGTGTTACGTTCCTTAGTTCCTCTCATGCAAACCTTAACAGCTGGGACCCTCTATACCCTGTCGCGGTTGCAAACCAACTCCATTCACTTTGTGTTCCTTTGATGAGAACCAAATTCCACACAGTTTCCAAGAACTGTTACTTTTGGGAACATACTCTCGACATTATACCTCCCTGACAACTACAATCTTTGTCTCTTTAAGTACAGGATCACCTGATATCTATCCTACAGGAACACATAATATGCACTTCTTAATTCTTTCTTACTTCCCATTCGCTTACAACAATCTAAGTAGATCTCTAACTTGAGTAGCTCTTGGGTGAACTATCAGAAAAAAATAGTGCACAAAGGATAATACTCAGAACTATTTTTAATTACGTATCTTGCCGGACATAGGTGATTATTGCTCACCGAAGATCCCATTTCTATAATATCTGTGACTCGCCCTGTATCCTTCAGAAAGACTTTGGTAGCAGTTACTTGTTGACATTTCTGCGGTTTGGAATGCGGAGAGGCATGTCTACCCTGCTATTTAACTCCTAGATAGATAGATAGATAGATAGATAGATAGATAGATATGAACAGGCTGAGATAGATAGATAGATAGATAGATAGATAGATAGATAGATATGAACTGGCTGAGTAGAGTAAGAAGAAATGGTTTTTCCGAGGAAATTAATGGGACTGATCTTGAACTCAGGTCGTTGATTCTAAATTCCGAATTGATAGTCTTTATGCTGTCTGCCCGTCTTCAAAACGAATACCTACATGAAATAGTTGTATAGTGTAAGATTTTTTATTTTATTTTCAATTCAGTCGTGTTTCTAAAATTCGTTGTAATTTTGCTTTGCAAAACATAAACTGGCAGACAAAACGAAAGATAAATTAAACTGAGATAGATAGATAGATAGATAGATAGATAGGCATACAGATAGATAGATAGATAGATAGATAGATAGGCATACAGATAGATAGATAGATAGATAGATAGAAATTGTGACAGATTATGAACATAGATATGAACAGACTGAGGCAGATAAAAATATATGAACTGTGATATATATATATATATATATATATATATATATGTGTGTGTGTGTGTGTGTGTGTGTGTGTGTGTGTGTGTGTGTGTGAAAAATATATAGAAAATAGGGAAGAACTCGTTAGGTAAATAATCCAAAGTTCTTTAGTATTTTTGTTATTATTTTTAAAAAATAGTGCTCGATACAAAAGTAGAGCATAAATATAATTATTTATTTAAAAATATGATTCCAACAGGCTACATAAGAGTTCTCATGTTTCAAAACAAGAGCCGAAAACTTCAATATAATTATTTGAATTAAATTGAATTAAAATACTAAGCTCTGTTCCATCTTCAAGTGAATTTTTTTTGGAATAACTTATTTCTGAAATTTACGTGTTTTAATAGCATATTCATTATTGAAATCAAAATTTCTATGGTAACGGCTAGAGCAATTGTTTAAATAAACAGTGGTGTAAGGTGTTAATAATTTGTATCAGTATAAAGTTACATTCACAGACGTCAAGTCAGGGTAAGGTGGGTGTGTCTAAATTTAAAACGGAAGATGATTTCGCATGGTCTGGTTTACGTGTCTATGGGGATTTATTTATTTTTTTATTTTATTTTTTCTGAAAGGGTTTTGTGTATATAAAAACTGATGATTTTTCTTTTCCTGTTTTTTTTCTGGTTTGTACAATTGTTTCTATAATTGTACTAACCGGAAAATAAACAGGAAAAGAAAAATTATTTGGTATACCCCTCCGTACAACCAAATGTTTAGTATTAAGCTAGGACAGAAATCCCTAGCTTTAATTGAAAAACACTTTTCTTACCAATAGTAGACTTAGTAAAATATTTAATAAGAACACCCTAAAATTGAGTTACAGCTGCACTGAAAATCTAGAAAGTATAATAAAAACACAATAATAAAATCCTGAACAAACCCTGAATAGTATTAATAAAAGCCCTACACTTAAATTAGACAAAAACAGTGAAAAATTATGTGATTGTAGAAACCCAGAAGACTGCCCATTGGACAAGAAATACTGCGTTAAATCTGTGGTATACCAATGTACTATCTCATCCATTGAGAGTCCTAACACTTATATGATATACATTGGGTCTACGAAGAATGAATTTTAAGCCAGATGGAAGCAGCATAAGTGCTCTTTCAACAATATAAATAAAAGAAATCAGACATCTCTATCTAAATATTTTTGGCATTTGAAGGAAATTAATAAAACACCAAAAGTAAAATGGAAAACTATAAACAAAACTAGAACTTGTAAAATTTGGGATGATCCATGCCCTTTATGCCTACATGAAAAACTACACATTATTAAGTTTCTAAATAATAAAAATCTATTAAACAATCGACACGAGTTAACGGTTTTTTGCCGACATCATCAAATTTTTGCATTGAATAATTATCATAAAAACAAACAAACAATAAAATAATTTTTAAAATCCATAGTACTAATAAATAGTTTAAATGTCCTACAAAAAAAGATAACCCTTTATGAAGTCGTCAAAAAACAAATGTTACGACAGTTTTATATACACAAAACCTTTTCAGAAAAAAAAAAATAAAAGAATAAATAAATCTCCATAGACACGTAAACCAGACAAGGCGAAATCATTTTCCGTTTTAAATTTACACACCCCAACCTTACCCTGACTTGACATCTGTGAATGTAACTCTATACTGATACAAATTATTAACACCTTACAACCCTGTTTATTTAAACAATCGCTCTAGCCGTTACCATAGAAATTTTGATTTCAGTAATGAATATGCTATTAAAACACGCAAGTTTCAGAAATAAGTTATTCCAAAAAAAATTTCGCTTGAAGATGGAACAGAGCTTACTTTAATTCAATTTAATTCAAATAATTATATTGAAGTTTTTGGCTTTTGTTTTGAAACATGAGAACTCTTATGTAGCCTGTTGGAATCATATTTTTAAATAAATAATTATATATATATATATATATATATATATATATATATATATAGAGAGAGAGAGAGAGAGATGGATAGATAGATATGAACAGGCTGAGGCAGATAAAAAATATATGAACTGTGATATATATATATATATATATAGATAGATAGATAGATAGATAGATAGATAGATAGATCTTCATCATGATCATCATCCGGCCCCCGAATGCTTCAAACGGCAAATGCACCTAAAGACTGAAGAAACAAACAACCGCTTCCAGGATGATTTTGTTGATGGTCACTTCCGGGAGTCATATCTTTCACTCTTTGACGTTTTCTAACCAGTTCTCGCGTTGCCATTTATGCTTACTCCTGACTTCATCAGTGTCTTCCATGGTTGTCTTGCAGAGGCGTTTATGCCTTTTATCTTGGCCAAACCATGTCATCTTCCGACGCTTAACAGTGGTGTGGAGAGAATCCCGTCCGTATACAAGATTTTTGATCTTGCACTGTACACAGTCACTGGCTTTGTCCACCCTGCAGAACAGGTATGAGAAGTAAGCCGCATCATATATGACTCATCCCAAAGTGAGCCTCACTATTAAAAAGATTCAAGCTAATTTTTGCTTAGAACGTACCTCAAGTATTTTCCCTACAGAAGACCATATGTTTAAGCATGTACCTTAGAAAAGGTAGGTAATTTTTATTTTTTGAAAAAAAATATGAATAAGAATTGAACTCTTGGCATCATACGATCACTGTTGACAGTGTAATTATCAGATGTCGCTGAGTTGGAAGTATTGCTAAGTTAATTATATATCTGAAAATGAAGCATTTCTTCTTAAGAGAAAAATTCTTATTAACGTTTCTTGTTTTAAGTGTTGTAACCTAGAAAGGGTTACTGAATGAGGAATAACCAAAACGGAGGTTGGAAATGAAATGGTAATCTTTATAATATCAACAAAATACAATACTCGCCAGTGGCGTGTAGTAGGTAAACCACTTCTTGTGGCGGACTACTCAGACAGCGTATTACGATATTTACCTGCCTCCCCACAAGGCCAAATTTAATGTGAGGAAATCCGAGCCCGTAGGCTCCGGAAAAAATTGCCCGTAGATTCGGCATACGCGGGATCGGGTATCTGTCTACCTCCCCAGACGAGACTCTGCCCTTCGGCATAGCCTCGTTCGGGTTCCTCTCTGCCCGAAGGCAGGGAGTTCGACACGGCAAAAGCTGCCCACGCTGACAGCTCACGCTGCCGGCGTAGATAGAATATTACCGTCACTTACAATAGTATCCAACGTATTTGTGAGGATTGGGACATACCCATTAGTGTTTATAGGTACGGTACATAAGAACTAATAATATTGATCTATATTCAATAGGCTCTTTGACTGATAAAGGAATAGCTATTAATTGTAAAAAAAACAGAATGTATGGCCGTTGTCAGGAGTAATAACCCAGCATGCATCGACGAAATCAAAACCTGAAATCAAACAATTAGAGAAATTTAATTAAGAGGGGAAAAGATGGAAAATATGACACAGGAATCGGAAGGTGTACTGGAATAGCGGAAGCTGCCTTCCGAAAGCTAAATAAAATATAAAACAAAGGACAATCTGGGTAAACACCAAAAAAAAAAAAAAAAAAAAAAAATCATAGCTGAACATCAATCCTCCTATGTGGCTAGACAATTTCCTTACGGATTGTTGTAACTTAGAAAAGGTTACTGAATGAAAAATAATCAAAACGGAGGTTGGAAATGAAATGGTAATCTTTATAACATCAACAAAATACAGTACTCGCCAGCGTCGTGAAATAGGTAAACCACTGCATAGTGTTGGTCTACTTATACAGCATATTACCCCCACTTGCAATAGTCTCTAACGTATTTATGAGGATTGGGACATGCCCATTAGTGTTCATAGGTACGGTATATAATACTTTTTATACTTCTTTTATCTCTTCTTTTTTATTCTACTCATTTTCCTCTTCTTCTTTCTGCAAATATTACTTTCACTAACTCATTTCTTCTTCTTCTTCTTCTTCTTCTTATCTTCGTCGATAATATTCGCAACAACCTACTGTCAAACAAAATTAAGGTTACTATTCTTTCACTTCATCTGTGAGGAAATTTTCCATTGTTTGCTGGCATATAGAGGTGGATTAATAAGTCAATTAATTAATTGACAATTGGATTAATAAGGATTATATAAACAGCGGATTAATTAGTCCGTAATCTAACGAGGATTTACATGCTGAATATTCATATTAAATTCGCTTTCACGACGTTTGATTTGTGTGCTGAATAGGAAAACCTGGGTTTAAATGAATTTATAAGGGAGACGTTGAAAAATATACAGTTGTTACCTAAATTGAAAGCTTCATTGATCTTGTATAGTTGATGTGCCAATGATTGTATATATATATATATATATATATATATATATATATATATATATATATATATCAGATGTATTGAGAATAAGAATATTGTAAATTCTAATGTTCACAGCATTAATTCAAAACAGGGTACAATACCAAGACTAGAGCAATAATTATTTATTATAGGGGATGGAAAAAAACAATTAGCCACTACAAATAGTGGGTAATTTCGGTCCTGACTTGAGGCATTTGGATGTCTAGTCGCACTGAGGAACTTTGATACAGTGAAACAGTACTATATATATATATATATATATATATATATATATATATATATATATATATATGTGTGTGTGTGTGTGTGTGTGTGTTTATTCACATTCCAGGTAGTGATTTGTTTTGCTATAGGTAACTGACCTAACACAGTGTGTGGTGCCATGAAATCGAAATAGTCCGCCAATTATTATAGAATAAAAATAAAAAACGGAATCCATTTTTTTAAGAGTCTGTCTATATTTCTGAGATGAGGTATTATGTACATTATTTACATTATTCGGACTATTGTCCTAATCTTTGTCGCCATATTTATCACAACCTTTCGGCCGTTGTACGTTCCGGAGAGCAATTTGTTGGAATGTCGAACTGAACCCTTTATTTCGCTCACTGGGGTATAATTTTCTAGTTCGTGCCATGTTCAATGGATGTCAGTTATCAGTTATCTCCTGTTATTTTCTTCTTGGAAAGTTCTCCACCGCTCCTTAACCGGGCATTGAACTCACACTCTAAGGCAGTGGAGAACTTTCAGAGGGAAAATTAACAGGAGATAACTGATAACTGACATCCATCAAACATGGCACGTGGAACTAGAACAGTCTACCCCAGTGAGCGAAATAAAAGTTTCAGTTCGACATTCCAACCGTCATTTTTTTTAACTTTTAAAATACACAATTTTGATCTTTCTCGTAAAATACACAATTTTCACCTTTATCTTCAAAGTCATATATATATATATATATATATAGGGTGTATTAATATACGTTTAAAAACTTTGGGGGAGGGTTCCTCTCACCAAAACAAGGACAAAAGTCCATATGAACATATGTCCGCAAATTCTTAGTTTTTGAGTTATTAAGTTAACGAAACATTAAGGTTTAAATTGTGGCCAATTTTTTCTAACAATAATAGATTATAATTAACCCGACATATTTTTGTTACTTTAATCATTATTTTTAGAGGATACTCGTGTTTCAGTAGACGATCCGTTTATTTATTAAACAGTATATTTATTTATTTTCGTCTATCGGCCTGAATGATCGGGAAATGTTATTTTACGGAGAGCGCAATTTTTTCCTTAATAAGATATTATATATGCATTTTTATATAACACCAATTTTAGGAAAGTTAATGACAAAGTGGGAATAAATTGTGTATCTTCAATTTCATCCTTACTCTGAGGAAATCCTAAATGACGAAACGCATCAAACGAAAATAATTTCCAATCATTGTTCATAACATATATATATATATACCTGGATCCTTCCTCTTGGAAAAATTTTTTTCTGAAAATATACATGTATGGGAATTTTTTAGATATATTTTTCATATGTATGTATATTTTCCACTAATATTATCTATATATATATATATATATATATTATTTGTGTGTGTGTGTGTGTGTAGATAGATAGATAGATAGATAGATATAAATTGACTGACTTAGATGGATAAAGATATAGAGGGAAAGGTATATATAGATAGATAGATATGAATAGACTCAGACAGATACGTAGATAGGAACAGATCAGAACGATAGATAGATAGATAGATAGAGAGATAGATAGATATGATGAAACGAAGAATAACGGGAAATGAGATTAAAAGTACGCGCACGCGCTTTTGACGCATGTGTCACGTGACTGCAAGTTTTCGTGCAACTTGCTACAGAGCGCGTGGGCGTGCGCACGTGTTGATAATGGTTGGAAAATGGAGTCGAATCGTCATTCTTCACCTCTGCTACCTGCTTGCCTGATTGCCTGCCTCCAGTGATTTTTGTTAGTGTGAGTGTGTGTGTGTTTACTCCGCCCCCTACACCCCCCACCGCCGGCACCGTTCCCTCGCGTCCGCTCTCCGCACAACTCCATGCACGCGTTCATCTTTCCTCGAAGAAAATTGATCATTGAAAAGCACCGATCGATAAACGAAGATGTGGCGTAAAGGCTATTAACAGAGTGCAGATGTAAAAGAAAATAGTACCTCTGTAGCACACACACACACACACATTATTATATATATATATATATATATATATATATATATATATATATATATATATATATATATATATATATATATATATATAGCTTTGTGCGCGTAGAGTAGCGGTTAGCAGTTAGCGGCGCAGTAAGTGTAATCGACGTACCGTGATGAAATTCCGGTTCGTTGCGTTCTTATTCTTCTAGGTGTCGTGTCCCTTCAGGACGTGGGCGATAATGGCTCTCCATGATTTCCTGTCCTTTGTAGGTCAAAGTGAATTTTCTCTTTTTTTCTATTCCTTGTAATCCCTGTTCTACAATCCATTTTATACAAACCCATTCTACTTCTTCTATCTGCTGTGTCCATTGACGTCGTGAGCGATCATGATTCTCCACAGTTTCCTTCTCTTTGTAGCTCATAGTAACTTTGTCATTTCGCTATCTCCCCAAATCCCCTTTCTGCCTTCCTTTTTGCACAAGCACGTTAGGTTCTATTTACACTGTTCTGACTGTTGTGCTCATCTTTATTGACATTTCCACGACATTTCGGCGTTGGAATTTAGAAGCAAACCCTTTATTTTGCCCACCGATGTAGATTGTTCTAGTTCCACATGCCATCCCTCTTCTCAGTCTTTCCCTTCAGTAACTCAACTCTACAAGTTTTTGTTCACGTCTGCCGTGGGCAGGTATTGAACCCACAACACTTTGGAACAAGTCAATGGTTTACTTCAACAGACGATTTTATCCACTGGAACAATAAAGATGACAATAAAGATGTGGACAACAGATCGAACCATTGCAAATATTTAAAATACCTAAGAATTATAGACAGACACGGAAGAAGGCCGGAGCGTACACCAGTCGGAACATCGCGAATATGACAATAAAGATGAGAACAACAGTTTCGAACAATTGTAAATATTAGCTACAATACCTCATCTCAGGCGTTAAGTTGGTTTTGCGCTGTTTTCCTTTGTCACTCTTACCTTCAATACGACCTGTGAGTGTCAAATATTCCAAGTCCTCTTTCTTCATTACCGGCCACAGGAATTTAAGCTGTCGCATTCTGCTGATAAGTATATGTGCTCATTTTTGTTTAAATTTTCTCAAAAAATACCATTCTTTGTCTTAGCAGTTCACCCCTGAAGATAATCTTGGATTAGATTGAAAATACCTGAGAAAATAAAAGAAATTAGAAAGAAACTACAGCGTCTTTCTTCATCAGTTTTTTTACACCACTAACAAATTGATCCAGGGACTTGAGAGGATTAATATATATATATATATATATATATATATATATATAGAGAGAGAGAGAGAGAGAGAGAGAAAGAGAGTGAGAGAGAGAGGGAGAGAGAGGGAGACAGAGACAGAGACAGAGAAATTATTTAAAAGATATATTTTAAACTATCTATTGTAAACATTTTAAAACCTTTGTGCAATATTCATAAATAATTTTATTAACGGTTGGTTTCAATTTTTAAATATAGATAGCTTCATGAAAATGTATAGATGTATTTTCAACAAGAATTTTCCTTAATTGCGAATGTGGACATGCGTGTTGCCGTACAGGTTGAGAGATATTATATGCATCATTCAAATGAAAACTCAACCTTCTAGACACCATAGTCGTGGTATGACCAACTTACATAATATTTTATCTGTTGGAGACATTTAAATTTATATACAATGTTGATTTCTGCAACAGGTTATTTAGAGGGGAGGACTCAATACGAATGATTAAAATGGGGAATTATGTAAAGTATATAATTAATTTTATTTTTTTTTTACTAGGGTCATTGGTGGATATATCAGTTATTAGTTTTGTTTAGGATATTTTCGCCCTGTTTATGATCCGAATTTAATTGATTGTGATATGCGGAAATAATATGTTTTCGGGTTAACTGAAAAAATTATTACATTTAATGAGACATATGTTAACAAAAATATGCTGGCAAAATATACGCAACACACACACACACACACACACACACACACACATATATATATATATATATATATATATATATATATATATATATATATCGCCTCCGCAGGTCGGGTCACGTGTCCAGAATACGTTCCATTCGACTCCCACGTATCATCCTGCTGGAGACCTCGCCATCCGGAAAAGTATACGCGGTGTCCCAAAACAACACTCCAAGGATCAGTTGAAAATATTTCTCGTACAGGCCATGATCGACCCTGAGACCTGGGAAACCCTTACTTCAAATCGGACTTCTTGGCATTTGATTTGGGCGTGTCAAGACTTCAGGAGTAGTCTAGTCTTTCACAGCCACCAGCGTCAACACCAAAGGAGAGAAAGGGGACAAGGAAAGAGAATGACAAACCCGCTGCAAACGGATACATCGGGTCTTGGCGAGATATATATATATATATATATATATATATATTAATGTATCTCAGCTCCTCAGTGCGACTAGACATCAGAATGCTTCAAGCCAGGACGATTTGGTGTCAGTCAGCGTTTCTACCTCTGAGCTAGCTAAATCTAGCGTATTGTTTTTACGAATGTAAACAAATACCAATCAGCCATAGGGCTCGATTCTTTTTACTGAAGAGCTTTGCATTGGTGCAGGTGGCTGTTGTTTATAGAATTAGCTTGTCATTCAACAATGCTCAATTCAAATAAATATTCAAGAGCTATACCGGGCGTAACAGCAAAATTGACCGTCCTAAAAATATATATTATCTGAAAACCACTAAACTAAATGATTTTCTTTTTTACAGTTTTTTTACATAAGACGTTTATCCATCTTCACGTCACTTATCGTAAGAATCCCTGAAAAATTATTTGACTTATTCAGCTAGAAAGTGAACAGGTTAAAACCGTTCTGTGTCAGACCTACTGTCGTCCCAAATGATCCGTGATAAAAGGAAAACGGTCAATCAGGCATTCAGTATTGCTTCCAACATTCATACTCTGGCAAAACGGTGAATAAGTTTTAAAAAGTGGGAAGAGTAAAGAGAAAAAGTGGATCAGGAGGTCACAACATGAATCATTATTTCAAATTAGAGCTAACGAGATCAATTAGAAAATACCCAACTCAATCCATCAGACGTTTGGCACGAGAGAGAGAGGAATTTCAGATATGACAGTCCAAATATCAGTGAAAAAAGAGTTGATAACCGTACGTGAAAACTGTGAGACACCTTGTTATTCCAAGACAGAAAATTATAAGGTTAGACAGAGTGAAGGTCGTCTTGAATAAGTTGGAAAATGATCTTAGAATAATATATATATATATATATATATATATACACATATTTGAACTTAAATTCAATCCTTCATGATCTTCCGATTCTTAGCTCTGATTAATTAATGATGAATATATCGTTTTCGTTTATGATCGATTCCATCACGATTTTTCTGTTTAGCTTGTGGAGTAATTAGACATTCTTAAAGTAGTATCGAATAGTTTTATAAAACTTCAGAAAAGCCAGTAATCTTTCATCATTTCTAAGATCCAATGGTTGAAAGCTTAATCTAAGAACTGGGCAATTTTGGTGTTACACCAGGTGTGTGTGTGTGTATATATATATATATATATATATATATATATATATATATATATAGTCATCCACATAAAACCTGTGTCGCTGTATCACAGCTCATCAGTGTCGCTAGACGTCCTATTGGTTCAAACAATTTGGCATCAATCAGAGATCCTACCCATAAATTATCGGCGCACGGCAGAGAAAGATAAATTTTAAAAAGTATTATATACGAGATGTATACAAACGTCAGTAGCCAAGAATTCGTAATTGAAGAGCTATGCGTATTATTACTATTATGCTTTATGAAATATATATATATATATATATATATATATATATATATATATATATATATATATTATAAATTAATTGATTTAAAATATATTTTTTTTCGCTACACAGTTACAACCATGTTTCAAAAATAGAAGCTAAAACCCCGAATTTAATTTTGCAATTAAATTAAAAGCATTAGCTCCATTTCATCTTCAAGCGAATTTTGGAGTAACTTTTTAAAAATTACCGGGTTTTAAAGACACAGCTAAAATCACGTTTCCATGGTTACAGAATATTCTACTTAAATTGAACAAGGGATGTCTAGATTTTCCTTATGTCAGTATCATTGTATCAGTTTACTTTTTAAAAAAAAACCTGGTTGGAACTGTGTAGCGAAAAAAAAACCATATTTTAAATCAATTAATTTATAATATTAATGCTCTGTAAATTCACATTGAGCACTATTTTGTAAAAATAAAAATATCTATAAGAACACCGGATTTTATATCTTACTGTTCTTTCTTTTTATATATATATATATATATATATATAGCCTGAGGTATATTGTCTGCTTCGTCTGTGGCATTTATTTGCACCGACTAAGTGTATCAATAGTTCCGAAAAGTGTGGATGGTTCTGCACAAGCCTTCACCACTTTAATCAAATCACTTGTGTGGGTTTTCTGGCCGTTTACCTTGATTCGTTCTTATCCACGCAGCTCATTCCTCCTTTGTAAATCACTAGCGGGTCTTAAATGCCACTTAAGATTATCGCACAAACTTTCATAAGCTGTCAGATTCTCATACGACGGGAGAGTCCATTATTATTATTATATATATAATAAAATATATATATATATAT